CCAGAATCCACGAGAAGGGACTTCTTTATGAGATTTATCGTCACTTCATGGCGATGTGACGTTGGTCTGCGATATACAGCAGTATTTTTTTAAAATTACGCAATCAATAAATTATCCAACTTTGTACAATTTCGAATGAAAACACATAAAATAGTAAGTCGGATTTTGGCGTAAAGCGCTCAAGAAGAAATCTATTGATAATCCTCAAAAATCCTGTAACTCATATCTTTTAACTAACTGTTCACGATGACTTCGTAGGAACGCAATGAATGGTACGGTTATGTCGGGACTCTATGAAAACATTTCTCAATCTAGAAACGAGTTTTTATACCCGAAAACTTAGTGCTTTCGTTTGTGACTCAAGAAGGTGAAATAACCGGTAACTAGCGATCAGATCTCTTCCCTTGTTCCGAAGAGTGTCAATATTATAGGGCCAAAAACAAGACTTCGGTGACACGTCCTAGAAATGTTTTCTTGCAGTGCACTCGGAATAGCTAAGCAATCCTCTTACGTGTGAATTTTCACGTTCGTAAGACTACGAGCCATAAGAGATTTCATGTAGTTTCCCCAATTGATTGGAAGAATGATAAAACCGATGCATAGAAGCATAAGGTCGGAGCCTTTCCATCTGTCAGAATCTTACCACTAAATCTTGTTAGAAAAATCGATTTTGTCGGCGTTGTCCTATCCAAGCTATTGCGATCTACATTAACTGTCCCAATGTCGTACGAGTGACATAACGAGGAAACGGGAATTGTCGAAAAACTATCGAACTTTTTCCTGACAAAAAAAAAATAACGAATTACTTAGAACTACAACTGTGACAGAAATGATCTTCAGTGAGCCCGAAGAGGGAGAGGAGGATAAGCTGGTCGTATAACAGAATAAAGCCCAATTCATGAAGAGCACATTGTACGATGATAGACGGATTGAAATGGCTTTCCGACTATGAAAGCATCACCATAGGGAAAACCAATGAGACACTCAGCGAAGTTGATGGATAACTTGAAGAAGAACCCTTGAAAAATAAGCAGAATGTTACCTTTATACATGTCAAAAAGCCACTGAAGAGCTGATGAACCCAGAAACCCTTTGCTAGGTTGACCATTTCAACCTTCTTGCCATGTAAATGAGATAATTGTTTTTTTAACCAACATCGACGAAATTCCTCCTCCTTCTTCGTCCTTCTGAAGGTGCTTATGAAGTAGATGGACGTGATTGCAGCTTGCGTAAAACATTTCCTCTATATGTGGATAGAATCCGCGAACAACGTGTACAACGGGTGAAGTGGCCGAGATTTCTATACGCCAAGTAGACCATCTCCACAGACGACAGTAGTATTCGAAACGAATCAAATGGAAAATGTACCACATTATTTGTGATCACTGGCCATTTTTGCATCCTAATAAGTAACTATGAAAAACATAACATTTGAAGTTGAGTAAATTCAATGCTATCAGGAAAGCAGCTTAATTTCCTGCATGTGCGCTTTTTAGGCTTTGCTAATCCATCTATGACGGACTCTAAACAATTGCGATAAACCCAGTATTTGCAAAGAGTAAAGTAGGAACTCTTCAACAAAAGAAGCTGAAAATTGCAAAAGAAGTTAAATTTTCAACGACATCTTGGCTTCTATTAGAGTGCTTAATCTTGTACTACTTGTGGGAACAAACAATTCTACAGAGGACGGATCGTATGAACCATTTTTGCTCCGTTGATGATATACTTCGTGTAATATTGAGTGATTTAGCGACGCAGAACGATTTTTGGCCGATCACGGCACCTCTAATTGACAGATTGGTCTTCAACTGGATCTCAAATAAGGTGAATATCCCCGAATGTTGAGTCATAATGTCAACATAATGAACGACTAAGAGTGAGGACAAATGACAGGGTTATAGTGTGAGAATAGACTAAATACGTTGGAAAAGCAATCTCAAGGCTCGGTTTATGTTCAGGACTGAAGATTATAGATGTTATAATGGCGAAAATTAGATGGACAGGGAGCATGGTGGGCCATCGTGACACACGAAGAATGATTTATATCGGATGCAGTGCTTTTATTCGGAATTAGTGAACTCTAAATCGGCACTCCTTAGTTGATACGAAGTTCTAGAAGTTTAATTGAAAACTAGTTAGAATCTACAAAGGATACGAGTTGTTCAAATCTACTAACATGAGGTTGATATAATTTAGTATCGTACCAGGCTCTACCAAGACAAAATTTTGACTTGCCGGATTTGTTTAAGTTCTTTTTCCGCTTCCATAATCGTGTTTCGAGACATGAAAATAACTGAGCAAGAACGATTTCGTTCACAGCTACGACACTTTTTCGCATTCTATCATCGGCTTTTGCGACGGCCGCGCTCAGGTGGGGACTTTTTAGAAAATTCAAATCTCTTCAAACGTTTGAATAGTTGGATTTTCGAATGCTCAATATGAAAGAATATGAGTTGGAAATTACACATGAGTACGATAAAGCAAAGTCTACTCCATAAAACATGTAGTTCTGAACTCCTAAAGTACTCCAATTTTCAAAGAAGCAGTGCCAACTGTCAAAACATTAAGCATCAAACGTTCCTTATTTACGACAACCAGTGGAGAACACATGTCAAAGATTAGATCTAATTGAATGAACACACTCTTAGACAGCCACAAACTCAATGACTAAGCTTCCTTAAAATAAGCACTTAGAATAGAAAGTTAATTTTATGCTCAGCATAATTTTTGAGGAAACAGAACCCATTGGGTTTTCATGACAGTGATGATTGGGACTTCGCTGACGCCTACTCGGGTCACTCTGCAAGCAACAACAAACTGAGAGAGGGAGAGAGAGAGGGATGATACAGATTACACTCTCCATTTGGATGCCTCCATGGCCAAAGTTGAACAATGTTTTTCGAGATTGAGAATTAGCATGAGAATTCATGATTATCGTTATGAAGTCGGAGAACTGCTAACTTCATTCATTTTCGGCTGATTTCTACTCAACGCCTTATTCAATTTTAGCGTCAAATACGATGTGAAATACAACTTAAAGAATGCTGAGGTACAAACGGAACTTAGAATCTGGTATTTTTGTGTCATGGACTCGAACCGCCACCATGCCTTCTTGGGGTCGCGCGCGTTCGTATAGCATAATTGAAAGTTACGTTCTGCTTTTCTCTGTGTTTTAACCGTAATCGATGGCTCTCAGCTATAACCCGTCAACGGAATTGATCCGGCGAGTACAAATTGGCATTGAACTCAGTTAACCTGAGGTCGTGATAAAAATCACAAAGCCACTTCCACCTGCTTCTTGAATCATGTTCATTTGGATATCTTGCTAATCCGTAGGAGGTTCGCAGAAGTATTTCTGATCAGTCTTTGCATCGGACTCACCAACGATGACCACCTTCTCTGTGCTCCCTTTCAGTCCATGTAGAATGCTGCGATCTAGTCTTCGGCATAGTTCGAATTGTCCATAGTCTTTCAAACAGTGAACGTCTGCTCCAATCTGTTATTTGGGCGAAGGAAATCGAGGTACGCCGCTTAAGTCATTCTATCTCAGGAATGAAGACAGATAATATAGACGGACCACAGTTTGTAGTTTAGAGCCTTTACGTAGATGATCGAAGTCGAATGATGACAAGGGTATTCGACACATGCATAAAACTTCTAATCTTTTCGTCAACTGGCGATAATTCTCAACCATCAGCGTATTTTACTAGTTGAGAACTGCACAGATCCACAAAATGAATTTAGCTGTATTGCCTTGAGTGATCATATGATTCCCACAGAGCTCCGAGGTTCATTTCCTGCTTTAGATTTAACTACGATCAAGGCTGAATTACCGGAAAGTTAGAAATAAAATTCAAATTTCAGAATTACAAACAAAATCGCAGCAACAGCAATTACCGCGACCTGCCGTGAAGCATCACCATGTCTTAACGAATTTCATTTGTCTAACCAATCGTTGTCGCTTCCAAAAAACGTGATTTTCAATAAAAAAATAATAACATCAAACATTGTTTGATGAGACAAAAAATTCGTCGGGCCGATGCTCCTTCAGTTCTGCATTCAATATAAAAATGAATGCTGCAGTCAAAAAGATGACCACGATATTGTGCTCATGGTAAACTCAGAGCAGAAAGCTAGCCACAACAAAAATCATGCAGTATGCCTAAGATTCTGTAATCATCTTGAAGAAAAATTTTCTTGTAGAAAAGCTTCGCCTATAATGTTAGATAATTCGCCTGCCAGCAGCAAAAGAGAACTTTTCACAGATACCTTACTACAAAGTTTTTGAAGAATAATGTGAACCGATCAGACATCAGGAAGAATACAAGTTTGGATAAACGGCAGAAGTCAATCTTTTCCCGGAAAGTGCAAAGAGAACTCTTGTGGTCAACGAAAATAGATGAAAAAAAAAAACGCTTGTCGATCGCTGCTGCGGAATAGTTCTAAAAACACTCAGAACAAAATGTGTTATTCAGCAGCACCGCGAGTCATCACGTAAGACACGAATAACAGCACAACATGCTTTCCATGAAAATTGTTATCGCATGAACTGAATTCGGAATTTTGCACAAATCGACATTAGCCAATACGCCGTAGTGTTGTTCATATTTTGGTGTATTATGAATGGAAAGTCCAATATTTCACAATTCTAGTATTTTTACTGCAATTTTCGTAGTGTTATGATGTTTCGTATATGCCCAAGCGAACTGAAAGGTAAGCAAAAACACGGCCTCAGGCGGGTAATCGAATTGCGTTTTATCCACCACCGTGGACGCGTGCTACTACCACTACACCACCGAGGCACATTTGCACCATACGAAACATCATAACACTGCGAAAATTGCAGTAAAAGTACTAGAATTTCGAAGTTTCACATGTAACAGCGGTTGTCAGCTCAAGTAGGCTTATAAAGCGAAATCGCATACCCGACCAAACGTGTTAAAGGTTGGTGGCTAATAGCTAACATAGAGACGTTGAAGAATGAGTGATGGTGCAAATGTGTCTCGGTGGTGTAGTGGCAGTAGCACGTGTTCCCGGTATAGATGAAACGCGGCTTCGATTGCCGCCTGAGGCCGTGTTTTTGTTCACATTCAGTTCCTTCAAGTATAAATGAAAGCACGTTTTTTGAAATGTTGATATGATAGAGAGAAAGATTACGGGCTTGTATCTCAATTTAAAGTGAGACGAAAGTCCCCTTTGGATACGTGGTTTCAGGATAGAATCTGGAGTCAAGCATACTTAGGAGTTCCTTATGAAACGGGTAGTCGTTTATCCATGAGTCTTGGACCACTGGTGGTCTGAGACATGTGTAAACCTGAAGTGGTATGTGGCCCAAAAATGCTTTGTTTGCCTAATCATTGACGAATTGCCATTTTAGAATACTGATGGATAAACTGTACATAACTTTGTGCATTATGATCTGAAGACCATATATATCCAGACAAAGAGGCGGGTAACAAATAGTAGTAGTAATGTCACTCATCACGAGCGGTGCTGGTTCAAACCGCGCACAGCGCTCACCGAATTTCTAATTGATTCTTGATGGAGATTGGTAGCAGAGTTCTCTTGGAACAGTTCACTTCTTAAAATCTGGGAGAGAACGCCACAGCCCAGTTATCTCATTATTTCACAGAGATCGCCTCGGCCAATATTTAACGAGATCCATGGGAAAGACGACGATTTTTGAGCAGCGGTAGAACTCATACACGAAAAGTTTAAAGGCGTTCGTATATGGTGATTGCGAGAAAGCGATCGAAAGGAAGTCCTCGGATTCACACAAATGATGAGAAGATAAGCGATGTAGAAAAACTTGTGCATAGGTACAGTCATCGAAAACCGTGATAATCGGCGTTGCTTGCGTTACAAGATCTCAATTCAACTTGATAAGATCTTGTTTCACCTTTTAATTCGCGCTGATTCTCAATATCTTCTCTATGTCACTGATGAAAAAAGGACAAAAAAGCGATAGTAAAAAGCGCGAGGTTATACATCCTATTTCATGGCGTTCTCTCTGATTCAAAGAAGTGCAGCTCAAAATGCCTTCGAGATATCGAGACAATGATGACGTCAGACTATAATTAAGTTAACCTTAGTAATTACTAGCATTTTAGCTCATTCATGCTGCAGTTATTGATCTATATTGGACAGCTAGCCTAGTAAACTCAAAGAAGCATCTTCGTACCAGAACTCTTGAAGGGCTCAAAACACAAAACACTACCAGACTATGTTGAATTTTGAGAGCGTTTCAAACTGGTTGATTGCAAGGTATTATACTATATGCCGTCTTATCAGCCATGTATTGTGCCATCGACTGAAAAAATCACTCTTGACCGCAACATCAAGTGATCGTTTCACTCAAGCTAAAGTGGTACTTCTTCGGCGCCGCTGCCATTAGTTGTAGGGATGAACAGAAAGGTGACGTCGAAACGTGCGCATAGCATTCGAAACGCCTGCGAGATCTCTTAAAAGGCTTGAAACATTCCACCAGACATCTCCAATTTGTTTCTTTATTACTGATGTGTACTGGCTACAAGCCTTCAGGTGGTATAATGCTAAGTTCATTGCATCACTGAGATCGACAAATATGTAGGAGATGGTCGACTCGATAAAAATTTCTCGCATTCACTAGCAAAAACAACTTCGATATTGTAGCATAGGTGGTAAAATTAGGAAAAATGAAGAGATGACATTTTTCAAGAGGATGAAAATGTCTTAAATATTCTAAATTCTCGCGGTGTTGGGTTAGTCGATAGTAAATGTACTAATGAGCCCAATTATTCACGTATTGAATGACTCACACTACCGCCACAAAAGGTATAGGAAATGTGAAAATTTCGAGAATTCAAGCCTCCCCCCCTGTGTCACCCATGTGAATTATGCATAGTCAGAATATTTTTACAAAGACTACCAATGACGAACTTCTATAGTGTTGATGCTATTATGCGACCGTTGAAGGTATTGGTCATTAGCAGAAAAAGCAAAATCTCTTGAAAGAAAAACTTCAACTTCATAGTTTCGCTTACTGACTTTGAAATTTTGTTTCCATAGTAAGTGGATGCACATGTCGCTCTATAAGAGCCGGTGTTTGAGAAGGTGATGCAACTAGCAGATTTTCTCTTTTCACTAAGATGGCCGTCTCTCGAGAGCTTAAACAAGGTACTAGTATGGACCACCTCCTTTCTACGGAGTTCTCTGCCTTCATAGCACAAACTTTTCGCTCATAAGGCTCGAAGAATTTTTTCTTGAATTCTTGAAGAGTCAGTAAAAACATCTGTAAACAAATATCAAGTTGTCTATAATTTCTTCGCACTACTGCATTAATCACTTTTTCTACCTTACATCATGCTATTGCTAAAAGTGGTGTGCTGGAGAATGCGGTATGTTGGAGAATGTTCTAAAAGCACTTGGATGCGGCCGTAACACCATCGTCCGCATACATGAAATGGGCTACCGCAAGAAGATGTCTCAATGGATACGATATGCATTAACACCTCATGCATGCTAGAAAGGATATGCTCTCGTTTTTCTAGGATTGGGAAGGCATATTGTTCTGTAAATTGCCCAAAAAGAGCACATAATCGATTCCGACGTCTACGGTGAACACTCCGGAAGTTGGCTGCAGCACTGCGAAAGAAGCGTCCAAGGCAACTCAGTGTCGTCCTCCGCAAGATAACGCTCAACCTCACATTGCAGTTTGAATCGCCACTTCTCGAGGAAACTGAGCTGGACCACGGTCCCGCACTGACATACAGCTCTGCTGTTGCTCTATCAGATTATAATCTTTTCCTCGCCCTAAAGTGACATGTGTGGGAGAATTAAGAAACTCAGCCGGTCGAAGGCAACCTCACCAACTTCTTTGGGAGCCAGCATCATTCCCTCTGAGAAGAAGTGATCCAATTTTTGCCCAGCGATTGGCTGCATATCATTGATGATGATGGTGAATATATTGTTCATTGATTGATTTCTCCAGATAAATAACAATCGAATTAACCAATGTGACGAAAAGCGAGAGAAGTTATGGGACAACCCATTCATTACACATGTAGTCCAAGTTCGCCAGTGTTTTTTAGGGAAACCACTGTCGAAATGACAGAAGCAGCTGATCAGTTTCAGTCACCTGTGTTAGCTAAATCACAACAGAGTAAGTATTTTTATCTTTTAGAGTGTTTATTTAGTAATCTAACATATTATGAGCGCCGTGGCCGGAATGTTGTGATGCTCGTCGCGGCGCGTGTGGAACCGAGCTCCACCCCCTCCCCCTCAACTCTCTCCGGCAGTCAACAACAACGCCTTATGGAACGCGACAGCCAGGCTGTCCTCGAGATTGCAAGGGATTCGCTCAACCAGTGTTCTATGACATTCAAGAAAGAGACAAAAAAAATGAATCGAATGCTAGAAGTACTGGGATTCGCACAGTAAAAAGAAAACATATGAAGACGGATCAAATAAAATAAAATATATAAAAAAGTGTTTAGTATCTTATTTCCCAGCCTCCAATATGTTATATGACAAGGACGATGTCATTCTTTCGTATTGATGGAGAGACCGTGACAGTGTAGTTCACTCAATAAAGTTTAGCGATGTGCAGAGCTTTGACGTCAATCAAGAATCGAACCCGCATTTCACCCTTTCCGGGGGGCGTGTTTAGCGTATCTTGGATCAAACCGATAAGGCTTGCCAGGTCAAACCGTTGATCGTTGGTTGCTGACAGATTCAAGCGTTATAGTGTAGAAAAGTGGTGGCGAAACAAGCGTGAGCAGTGCAATTGGTTAGCGCGTGCCATCGGAAAGGGTGAGATGCGGGTTCGATTACCGCTTGGCGTCAGAGTTTTGACGTCACTCAACATTAGTCGGCATATCTGTGACATCATACCACCGCTGCAAAGTAGTCAAATAAAAAAGAATCCCTGTTCATCACTTGTAATTTATTATTATTATTATTATTTATTTATTTTTTTATTACTATTGAAAAATTTATACGATAGTCTAAAGTTGAAAAAACACTAAACATTTGAATGCTTGAAATAGTTTTTGTATATGATTGATTACCTGAAATCTGTTCGAAGACACTCGCTTCAACGTGTCTTGGGGCGGAAGCAATTTTTCAAGCTCAGCTTGATTACGTCGATCCATGAAGAGTTTCCCCGTATCGGTACTAGTACATTACCTCGTCAAATCTGAAACCGAGTGACGTCATAATAGTGCAAAGAAAGACGCAAATGACTAACAAACGTTCGCTTGTACGAGAACGAGTCTCTCAAGATGTTTACAGTATTACGGTAGAATCATAGCACTTGCAAAATGTAAATTCGAAAGCTGAGAGAAGAAAAATTGATGGAATAGAAAAAAAGGCTGAGTACCAATACACATGTTCAACCCTTTATAGGAATGGAAAAATGACAATTCCAATGAATGATAAGCTGAAATTGCCACGGAAGGAACACTACATTCAGCGAATTCATTTTTATGATCGCATCAATCGCATCAAAACGCGCCCAAAGAGGACATGTGGAGAAGCTCCAAATATTCTGGAAAAAAGACAATCGTGAATACGCTATTCTGCATTGTACAGATTTTTCTGGGCTAGTTGTCATACAATTTCAGTCCTGGTTTGTCCACTGATACAAAGCATTAATTAAATGACCACACGAATGTTGAGAAATGAGTAAAAGCTGGAACCTGAGGTTTTTGTGCTATGTATCCGAACCACTTCTGTAACTTTCCTTTCCTGTGTCGGAAGGGCATAACGGAGGTTCGCGACTATGACACAAAAACAGCAGGTTCCAAGTTTTCTTCATATCTTAGTATTCTTGTTGTTGTACTTCACGCCACTCCCAGCCTTAAAAAATAAAAAATTGGCACCAAATAAAAAGTTGACTAAGAGTTTTTTTGGAAATGAGACTGAAAACAAGTCAGTTTTCAGAGAAATTCTTCACGGAAAAACAATTTCTCTCAGCTGGTAACCAGCTTAAGAGCTGTAGGTTATGAAATGTTAACTTACGGAAATTTTGCTGAATGCTTTGAAAAAAATACAAGGAGTGTAAAGTTCGGACGAGATTCAACAAATTATGGCTAC